ACATCTTTTTGTAATAGAAGATTTTATCGATTAACTTAAATAATGGAAACGCACCTCAATATAATTATGAACTTGGACTGTCTTAATTAATTTTTCTGTTGGTAATTGATAAAATTGATGAATGGCAAGACAAATGAAAATGCTACTGCTGTCAAAATATGGTAAAATCTTATTAATCAGAAGAGGTTTACTTAATGACGGCCTGATGTGAAATTTTTGTGATTTGTTTATTATTTTTCGGATTTCTAACTCTGCTACTCTGCATATTTTGATAGCATCTATCTTAGGTGGGATAAACTAGACCACCTTCGTCCTTGAAAGCAACGAGCTCATACGTATGACCAACTCCAGATTTTTGTAAAGACAGCGCACTGTTAATTCATTGCATTATATATTTTTTTGTATTACTCGTACTACATATCCGGCGATGTATTATGTATTATTTGCTCACTGTATTCGGACATTCGAGGCAACTTGCTGCAAAAATTATCGAAATTACAGATACTACTGATAATAGATACTACAAAACTGAAAAACCAACGAAACGTTACTAAACGTTATAACAAAAGAGTTATAGAATATTTTTATAATATTGCTAAGGTCATATTAATTTTCGTCCCTTTGTTTTCAAAATCGATCAGAATCGAGACAGTGTTGCCTAACGTATACATCACTAAATGTTAAATTTGGCCAAAAGAATGTACAAGCGGCCGTACCACGAAACTGAATGCATTATACAAAAGTGCGTTCGTTCGATATTCATGGCGTATTAACAAAGGATTACAAATATATCGCACCAAGTTAAAGCCGCAACGTATTACAAATTTTAGGCATGTACTCAATTGCATATTTGTTCTCTCGAAATTCATACGAAACCAAAATAATTGTTTTTAAAATAAGTTATGCATCTTCTGATTATAAAATCACTTGCCAGTGGAAGGAAACGTTCCTGTTTACCCGTTTACCCACAGTTATGGTTCTTTCTTTTTTTCGTGTTTTCGACTGGTGTTTATCTACGATAACGGTCGAGCGTGTTCTGAAGTGTAGCAGACTTTTCACTTACTTTGGGCACGCGAAGTACGTACACTTGCGGCGTCTATCTAGATATATGTCTGTGATATATCTACTCCCTACCAGCTGTTCCGTGTGTTGGGGACCACACCGTCACTGATTGGGATAAGTGGAATTTAATTTTCACTTATCTCTATGAATAAAATCATGACGTGTATAGTACAGTTTCAATAAAAATATCTAATTATAATATTCAAAGTAAGGGAACGAAAATACATAATCCGGGACAAAGTCGTACAAGATACACAAATGCAGCTAGCAAGCAAGCAAGGCGCCTATTTTGCGTGCTTTTTGTGATCGGTTTAATGCGATTCCTTGTCGATAAGTATGGTGACCGATTTCCTTAAGCGATCGTGTACCAACCTTGTCTATATCTCCTCTTTCCAGGCAATATGCAACTTTGCAAATGTTGTTGTTCGAATTTTTAATCAATTAATACATATCGTAGTGAAATCCGCGTACCTCCCACCCCCCTGTAATGAATTTTAATCGGTATGTACTACAGCACAAATGTCATTTTCCCATTATAAGCTTATGCCACGTTTGCAGACTACTCACTTTTCTCGACTGATTTCGAGGCCTGTGCACATCATATTGCACTGGGACCTCGTCTGAATCTGCAGTCCAGATTTTCCTTCGATAATTCCCTCTTATACACAATTTCACATCACGTACATGACAGTTTCAATATTTCTGCATTTAGAAGTAAGAAACAAATTTCTTTACTTGTTGCTAATTAACTGTTTTTCCTTTAGTATGCTGCAGCCTTTTATATAGGTAATCTTGGTTTTTTTCTCGGCTTCTTAGGGTCGTATTCCAGAACTCAATGCTCAAGTCAGGACTTGAGCAAACTTGAGTATAATTTCAAGCAATGGAAATACGACCCTAATGGCAAGGACTTGAGTATGATTTTCAGTGCTCACTGCAATACTCAAGTCGTGACTTGAGTATTGAGTAGAGTTCTGGAATACGACCCTTAGTAAGAAATTTGTGTTCCTTCGGGTGTTCCGAATACCTCCGATGCATGGTTTATAATTATATAATTGGAACTTAGCGCCCAAAACTTTAGTTCTCCGGTTTCTTATCTAGAAGGTTGACAAGGTCCCGCAGCCTGCTATTATTATCTTTTCTTCATCGATCACTATCTGCATTCCTGAGCTGTTACGTCACCCATGTACGTCCGCACGTACCGACCCTGCACTTCTGTCTATAGAGTTGTAACTCGAGGACAGAAGTCTCCAACCCCGTATTTTCTGACCCCATTCTCCATCATCATCTGTCTCCACTTTCACCACTACACTCTTGCACCATTTTCACTCTACAACACTAACTCAGCACACATATTCGTCTTCGTTATTTTTTTCATTTAACTGTAAATATCTCTTATTTTCTTAATTCATTAAATAAAATTGTTACTTGTAAATAAATTGTTTTTCTTTTATTTCTGTATCAGCTTCACGACAATATCGACGCCGGAAAGCGATCTTGTCGTATCTCGAAAAATAGGACTTTACACTAGAGCCGAAAAAGTATTTCTCTTTCATTTGAATTAGTAGAAAGTCAATTTTAAAGTATGGTGTATATAATCATACTTTAAAATTGACTTTCTACTAATTCAAATGATGGCCCTGGTGTAAAGTCCTATTTTTCGTGATACGACAAGATCGCTTTTCCGCGTCGATATATCAGTTGCCCAGTTTCAAATCATAAATGACCAGTATATTTTGACCCCGCCTTGCATGGGTCAACTCTAGTGAACTATCACACTATTACATCAATTCAGTGTCCATGACTTACTCGTCAGCCTTTTGCATAGTGTCCCTTACGACAGTAACAGACGTAATTCTAATTTTGACATCAAAATTGTACGTTACGTTTATTCATCATAAAGGGAATGTTATGTCGACTTATAGTATAATTGAATGAATGAATGAATGAAATATTCTTTATTGCACATAAAATTACA